CAAGTTATAGCGAAAAAACTGTTCAAAAATGATGACGTCAAATTTTTGAACTCAATTTTTAGCGATTCTAGACCTCGTACGGCAAAACAAAGACCACCATTGAACTCCCCGTGACGAGCTGCATCGATTCGATACCCATGTTATGCAAAAATATCAACTTTGAAATTTGACCTTATTTGACCTGACCTTGACCTGACCTTGACCTGACCTTGACCTGACCTTGACCAAAACGTGACCTAAGCTGGCCCCAAAGGCTGCCTGACCCACATAATCGCATTTGTCATGTAAAATGGACCATAAAACATGTATTACACGACACCAGTGACCTCAACTAGCAAAATATGTGTTTGAAGAGCATTTCCCCATCGATGATTTTCAATGAAATGCATTTTACTCGATTTTATAACGCATTTCTTGAAATGCCTGTAAACGGTGAAAATTGGACCTTTGACCTGACCTGTGACGTCATCGGTTTGACCTAGGTCAATAAAATTGGGTCACAAGGTAGTTCCCTGATAGGGCTATCCAACACCGTTTGCCGCTTGTCGCTACGTTGCGTGGTTCTCGAGATCTTAGGGGGGGGCCAAAATGCCCCACCCCCCAACGGGGCGCGTTGCTCGGCAGAGCCCAACGGGGCGCGGGTTAATGAACTGAAGGGCCACTCGTCACCGAGCACGATGGCAGAAAGGAGATTAGATGATGATTAGTCAATTTATCTCCAAATATTTTATGTTCACTGTTTCCAGGTTGTGAGGAGGCGAACAGGAAATAGAAAACCGAGAAAAAACTAATCTTATCTCAAAATGTCACTTAGGTATAGCGAAATCATAATCATAAAATAGGAGCATAGCTTGAGGTTGACCAAATATCAAATATACTCGCACTCTCCTTGTCTGACTGGTATTGGTGTTTTGGCGCCCTGCGTTTGCCTCAGACGGAGGGACGATCGGTCGCGGCGCCGCCTGCCGCGCCACCCTCCCTGCACTGCGCCGGTCCTATATAACAGCCAATGTTACACGCTGTGAAACAGAGTGTCTGTAGTGTTTCCCGTGCCGGATTTACGGTGGTTCGGCTGCGGTCCGACCGCTCCGGTGGAGAGAGATCGATGCTCGCGCCTCAGCCCTGAACACAAACATAATTGCTTTAATGGATCGTCTCGCGGCTCGATTCTGCGGCTTTTGTTGGCTGCGGCGGCCGCGGTGCGAGCGGAGGCCCCGGGTGTGAGCGACGCGCCGTCACCTGCCGCCGGAGACGCGAGGGAAAATAATCCGCGTCGCGCACCGGCTCACAGGTGTGCTCCTATTTATACCGATGACGGTGCGTCCAAATAATCAGGGCGCGTCACCGAGGGCCCCGAGTTTGTCTGCCCCGGGGCCGGGTATCTCCGGGCTACCTGACCCGGAGCCGGAGACTCCCGGACTGCCTGACCCGGAGCCGGAGACTCCCGGACTGCCTGACCCGGAGCCGGAGACTTCCGGACTGCCTGACCCGGAGCCGGAGACTTCCGGACTGCCTGACCCGGAGCCGGAGACTGCCGGACTGTCTGACCCGGAGCCGGAGACTCCCGGACTGTCTGACTCAGAGCCGGAGACTCCCGGGACTCGGTTTACCCTAGACCGGAAACTCACAGGACTGTCTTCCCCGGGACGGAGATTTCCCGGGATTGAGTGACGTTATCGACATTTCATAACCTCCTTCTCTCGTGCTTCTTTCCACCAACACAGCGTCGCCTGAAACTTTTCAGGCAGGTTGTTTCCGCCTCCACCTCCGCTACGATGACGAAACTTCAGCAGAGCTACTGGACAAATCAGCCAACCCGAGCATTGATGCAGTGCAGCATTGCTTGTAAAATATGTGCATAAAGTACATCCGGGAACGAACGCCAGTCATTCGGCATGCTATGACTGAGGCAAAAACAACATTTCGAATGGCTTAGGTGGGCGATGACTGACAAATATTTGTCATGTGACAGCTTTTACGAGTTAAAAACAGCGTTTATTCATAGCATCATTCGTCATTACAGCTTGCTAAAGTTACTGGCCAATTGAGCTACGCATATCCTGATTGCAACTTTATATTGAGACCTTTTCTACAAGTCAAATATGAAAGGCACAATTATAAAGCGACAGAAAGATCAAAGGTTGTCAGAAGAAACGAGATCCTGCACCGCCACGATTGATCTAGATATATCCTCGTATTCCCGTGAAGCCGTTAAGCCCCTTCGCATCAACTCTGCAACCCGTTGTCTGCCGACGCGGACGGCGGCTCCCGAGCACGGACTACCGCCGCGGCTAACCCCCGGGGCGGTGTTTACCTTCCTGTCGGCAGTCGTTCCCGTACCGAGCGCCGCTCAGAAAGAGCGCCTGTCATGTGCACCCGACGCCCCCAGCGCCCTCGCCACAGGCTTCTCGGAGTTCACTTCTCGGAGTTCACGGAGTGACCTGAACATGTGACAGGAGAGTAAGAACTGGCTCAATTTCATGTGCTTATTGTAATCCTTCTTCTCCGTATCTGCTCTGGCACAAAGTGAGCATTTAATTCGGAGTGATATGATCGGCTCCTAAGACACGGTGGACCATTGCACGATGTGGACCTAATCTAAGAGTATGCTATAGGTGAATTGTGAGGTCATTAAAAATGTTTAAGAGGTCCTTTAGATCGACTCATTTTCGATTTTGATAGAAACGTGACGGTCACAACGCATTTACATCTTAAGTACGTATTTAAGCATTTTTCAAATTGAAGTTGCGCAAAGCGAGACTGAATTATTACATATAATAATCCTATACCTAGATAGCTAATGAAGTTGAAACTACTGAGTGCTGCTTGCTGTTGGCATGGTGGAACGATTCAATTTTCGACAGCACGCTAGGGCCGAAAGGCTTATGACGCACTCGAGGCAATTTGAATACTTATTTTTGGGGAGTCATAAGCGATAAGCTTCGCAGCGTGAAGCTTTATCCACTTAAGCTATCAGACACGATCCCTAGCAAGGGCGCCTTTAAATCAATATGGTGCAGGCGTCGGTAGGTCGTCGACGTTGAAAGCGGTCCGTAACACAAGAGCAATCTACATCACCGCCCCATAACGGACCCGATGGCAGTCACCCGCAGCAGTTCTGATAAAGAACATGAGACGGCTGTCAATTCCGACCACTGAATGAGCTCGCCGATATATTTTATTATCGGCTGTATGTTAGGAATCAACTCCGATATAAATCACAAAAATGTGTCGAAGGCTGGCTCGTCCATTCATATATTTTCCTCTTATGTGACGTAAACATAAAACGTTAATTGCCTATCACGATTCTACATAGGTGCACGTTTCTGTTGCCGCTATTTCATTTTCTGAGTTTTTTTTATAAACATTTTGATTAGGGTTCAGCTCGCTGGTTGCATTACCTTCATGGATATGGTTTACGACAGCTAAAGATCGTTTTTTTAGTTCAACCCTCATTGTAATCGTCTCTTTGAACACAGCACGAGAATCGCTAGCTGAATTCGTGAGACAACTGGTTGGCGCCATTGGATAGACCAAGAGATATGCCCTAATATACGGCCTTCGGATAGACGACTTACCACTTACTAAGGATTATAACTTAACTACCTATAACTAACTAATAACTATAGCTAACTATAACTAATAACTATAACTAAACTATAACTAAGGTAAGTAGTAGTAAGTAATAAATCGAATGGCGTTTAAACCATTATATTATCGGTGTTAAAAATTTATTTTGATATTATTATTCATTTCTCCAATGCTAACCAAATTTCTCAGTACCTAATTCATCCAGCCATTCTCGTACTGCATTCAAAATATGTTTACAGTGAGGGTCGAGCTTTAAAAAAAACTATAGTTGTAGGTATTTGAGTTCATTGAACGTTTAGGTACAAAATGACATTCCTTTGCACTTTTTCAATAAATATTTTTGGTAATTTGATCCAGCCCCGGTACGACTTATTTTGAGTTACGTGACTGACAGATGCATTTCAAAGCCTTGTCTGAGCAGTGACCGGTGAAAGGTCGTATTATCCCTACGTTGGTTGGGCGGGAAGAGGATGTTTGGCTTCCCTCTGTGATGCTATCGAGGGCGGTATGGGCTGGCTTACGCGGCATCCGGGGCGGGCATTTCGCGCTCGACAGGCTGCCGGCCTCATCTCCATTCAGTCGCGGAATTCGGCGGAGTGTTCGGCGGCGGCGGCAGTGTCGGCGCGTCTAGTTTTGACGGCGCGGCGCTGAGCCGGGCCGCTGCACCGCCAGTCGGCTGACACAGTCCGCGAGCAGCGCCCGACGCCGCCGGAACCGGGACACACTCTCAGAGCAGGCCCTCAGACGCGTCAGCTTCAGCCGCTCCGGTCCGGCCTCCTCACAACAATGGCCGCGTATTATGGCAGACGCTGCCAGCCTGCCGCTTCGCCGAGCTGTTTGAATGCTTAAAAGTAGACTTTTCTATGCAAATCAATCAATACAGAGAGTCGAGGGAAGTGTTAGCTGCATTAGTTTATAAAAGTATAGAAGGGCCCGTATCGAAACGAATTCCGAAAAAAGGGATGCATCCAAACTTCACTGCACACGACACAAATGTTTCCAGTCCGGCTCATCACGTGGGCGATGTTCGATGAGCGTTTTGACGTTAGTGGGAGTTGTTTACCGAACAGCCACACTCACAGGCACCCCATTGAGAGGAGCACCATAATCATCTGAAGTGTTTTGCCGGGTGGAATCAGACCATTGTGGCAGATGATCAGCTGACTGCGCAGCGTGTGGCGATTATTCCAACAATAGACCCGCATTAACCCTCTCAAGCCTGTCTGTGCTACGTGATCAGCTGCTGGACCTGACCTGATATCTCATTTACGGTCGGCTTAATTGAAAGGATGGATGCTGGGGGATCATTATTGTTGACTGAAGTAAAGTCTCTTGACGCCTCTTTTTTCGCAGCAAATCACCGGCTGATTACTGCCCAATTAAACGCCATTCCCCTTGTTCACCGGCAGGTTACGGCCACATCACTCCACGCACCGACGGCGGCAAGATAATGACCATCTTCTACGCGCTGATCGGCGTTCCTCTGATGCTGCTCTGCCTCACCAACATCGGCCAGCTGATGGCCAACACCTTCCGCTTCACCTACTGGTCCTGCACGGTCATCTGGAGGCCGCGCCGGCCGCAGGCCACGCGCACCTCCGTGCGCTACTCGCAGAAACGGAGCAGCGCCACGGCTGCGGCCGCCGCGGCCGCCGCCCTAACCTCGGTGTCTCCTGGGATGGAGTTCGAGGAGGTGCGCTCACAGCTGGGACCGGCAGGGGACGCTGCGAGGGCGCGGAATGCCTCCGGGGGGCGGACGGTGATCGTCAACGAGCTCGGTGTGGTGACGAGACACGTTCCTAATGATGTGGGGATGGGTGTTCGAGCGGTGCAAAACGGCCCGAGTGGAACGCTGAGGACCTCTCCTGCAACCCGCGGCGGCTCGCTATTGCGGCAGCAACACACTCCTGTGGGTACTCTGATGCGACAGCAGAGCAGCCCCGCGGGCACCCTGGTGCGTCAGCCGAGCAGTCCGGGGGGTATCATCAGGAGACACCCGAGCAGTCCCGGTGGCAGGAGACAGCCGAACGGGCCGGGCGGAGGGTCGCGGGGACTGCTGGGAGAGCCCAGTCTCAGTGAGCCCGACTGCCGCGGAGTGAGCGCCGGCCCCGGGGACCTTCTGCGCACCAGCGGTCCCGCCACCCCGATCAAGCTGCTCGACAAGGAGACGCGGGACATTCTGGTGGAGTGTGCCGAGTACGTGCTCACTGAGGAGCTGAGCTCGCTGCTCGAGACGTCGCCGCAGCGACGAGGGGCGTTCCGGGACCGATCGGGTTCCAAGTCGGAGACAGCGGCTGGTGGGGCTGGTGCAGGCGGTATAAATGGTGTAGGCGGTGGCCCTGGAGGCGCTGGTGGTGGTGTTGGTGCTAGTGATACAAATGTCAATGGTCCTTCTGAAGGTGGCGATGTTGAAAATGAAACTGTTGCTGTGCCTCATGTAAGTGGCGACAAATTAGTTGATACTGCTGATGACCCAGATGCTATCATTGATGTGATCGAGGCCATGGCGGGCGGCGATGCAGAGGGTCCCGTGACGCCAGTCACAAAGAACCCGACATCAGCGACGAACCACGTGACGTTCTCCACGCCTGTGGAGAGTGAGAAGCGCCAGCCGCCGACCCCGCCGTGTCGGAAGAGCAGCCTGGCGTCTCGGCCGCGCTCGGGCCGCAACTCGGCCGGCTCCAGCGGCCGGAGCAGCCCACAGCGACCGCCGACCTTCCCAACAGAGGTGCCCCCGCCGCCGCCCTCAGTGAAGACGGTGACCGCCGGGAGCGTCTCGCCTTCCTCCTCGGCGGCGGAGCGGGCCCGGCGCCGGTCGGACGCCTCTCCCGCCCCCGCGGAGTGAACATCACGTTCGACTCCGACTCGCTGTCTCTCGGGCCGGCCACGCCGCAGCGCAAGCTGAGCATCCCGCCAGGAGGGCGGCGGTCAACATCGAGCACCCGCACCTGCGCAAGATCTCCCGCAGCGAGAAGCGGATGCGGCGGCTGGCGACGCGGCAGTGCTCGGAGCTGAGCGGCGCCAGCACGCTGCTCTCCACGCCGTCCAGTCTCGACTCGGGCGTGTACTCTTCCTCACAGCGGTTCACCTTCCCGGAGCCGGCGGCCGCGCTCGAGCCGGAGCCCGACGAGCTGGTCCAGGTGGAGGTGGTGAAGACGGCCGGCGGACAGCGCGCCGCCGGCCGCGTGCCCATCCCGCTCGTCCTCGGCTTTGTGGCCATGTACATCTGCATGGGCGCCGGCATCTTCGCCTGTGGGAGGAGTGG